CTCTCTCTCTCTCTCTGCCCCCTCACAGACACACACACTCTTTTCCCTCCTCTCTCTCTCTCACACACACACACACACACGTGGATCTATGGGGTGAATTTATATTTGCAGATATATTTTATTTTGTTCAAAAAGCACACAATTTATGGACAGTCAGTCAATGTGGCATTTTACTAATTCCTACTTTAGAAATAAAACCAGTCTGACTCCAAACCAAAATAGAAACAGATTCTAAACAAGGCCTCACACCTAACATGCATTGTCTGACCTAAAACTTCACCTCTTCTTCACCCTGATAAAATCTTTAGGTCCATGACTTGAAAGGAATTCAGGGATTTACATATACATACTAATCAATTAAAACCTTCTAACTGATTAAAGATTTAACAGTATGTTACGTTTGTTTAATACATCCTCATCAGTGGTGTGACCCTTTGATCATTTACTTATAAGTTCTGTGTCAGATACTACCTCTCTCACTAACACTTGAAGAAGGAGCGAAGCTCCGAAAGCTTGTATTTTCAAATAAACCTGTTGAACTGTAACCTGGTATCATGTAATTTCTGATGTTTTCCACATGAGTAAGCCTGTTTCCCTGAGCCAGTCAGGGAGTGGAGGGTGTTGGAGTTGGGGGGGTCAACATGAATGGCTGGGATGTCTTACCACCAGCAGGCCTTTTCCTTGGCACAGGGCAGCTGATCACCTCCCTCCCCGCAACCAGCCTGCAGATAACTACGTTTCACTGTTCTACCACCAGCAGCACAATCAGGTCCTTAATTGACAACAGCTTCCTTTGGCCTAGGGCAGAAGGTCGTCCTTAATTGGTCCCAATATCCCAAACATAATTGGGGGTGGGTCTGGAAGATAGCAGGCTCTCCTTTCCGTGCCTTTCCACCTGATTAAACAGCATCCTGTGTCCCAGTCTGTGCCCAAGGTGGGCACTAAATTCCAACCACTGTGTACAGTATGAGATGTAATTGATAGACCTGTGCACGTACAAGTATTTCAATGTTTAGGTAAAATTGTGGTTTGAGAATTGTCATGAAGGATGAGGTAACTCGAATTGAAAACTGTTGTTTTGTCTTTTTAATGCCGGGTCTGAAAGAGATTAGATTCATTCTCAGTACCTCCTGTGCTGAATCTAAATTAGAAAGAGATAGCAGAGTACAGCAACTGTATATCAACTGAATAACCTTTGTTATCATTTAATTATTGAAAGTATACTGCGTTTGTGATATTAATATAGGAATGCTGCTACAGTTCCAACTGCTAAATACAGCAACAACTTTCAATATTCTGCTAAAAAATTATTTACAGCTCCAAAGTTCTGTGTAGAAAATAATACAATGACCTTTACCTCATAGAAAGAAAACAAGTGAACCTGAAGGCGACAAATCCAATTGACAAACATCAGCAATCACTGGGAAACAGTGAGAAATGCCAGAAAACATTGGCAAAAATCACCAGCACTCAAAACAAATGACTTATTTCATTCTCTGCCATAAATCTGTTGCAGTATGTTTGTCCTGGTCCTTGTAATACTGGATGAAGCCGCTCTATAACAATACGTCTACTTCCAGTTAACACGCAAAGCAACTGCTCCCACGTTGGATAAACCCGTCTGGATGTGACATGCTAATTACTCTTAAAGTAAACTAGGACGTCAAGATCTCTTGCAGCAGTCAAATAAAATTGCAAGGATCATACCTTAATGTCATCTTGCCAACGGTGCTCCTTCTGAAACTGCTCTGCAGCCTTGGCCAGTCTCTACGGGAAAACAAGGATTCAGAATTAAAACTGACTTTAAATAAAACAATCAGAAACATACGGTAACACTGTAAACTCCACAAATTACAATACAATAATAACCAGATTATTTATTTTAAGTGATTGTTATTAAGATTTAAATACTGGTCAGGACACTTATTTTTCTTCAAAGTAGTTCATGGGCCTCAGTTTAACATCTCATCTAAAAGATCGTACCCCCAATAGGTCAGCTATCCTGCAGTACCATATTGGAGAATGAGCTTAGAATTTTGAGGTAAAATTTGAACCCAAGCTAGCAATAGAGGTATTAGAGATAGCAAGAATTGCAGATGTTGGAGTCAGAGTCAATACAGTGTGCAGCTGGATGAAGAACACAGCAGGTCAGACAACACCAGAGGAGCAGGAAAGTCGACGTTTCAGGTTTACACCCTCCATCATAACTGGAGACAGGGAAGAGAGTTTGGAAATAATGGGCAGTGTGGGGCTGGGCTAAGGTAGGTGGGATGGTGATAGGTGGATGCAGGTGGGGGTAGTGGAGATTGGTCAGTGGGAAGGGTGGGGAGGAAGGTGGGAAAGAAGATGGACAGGTTGTCAAGGAGGTGGGGATGAGAGGCAAAGTTTGACGTGGGATGAGACCAGGGGTGAGGAGATTTTGAAACTGGTGAATTTTATGTTGAGGCCATGTAAGCTCCCAAAGAGGAATATGAGGTGTTGTTCCTCCAGTTTGCTTGTGGCGTCTTTGCAACACTGGAGGTGGCCCAGGATGGACATGTCACCAAAAGGGAGGGGGAGTTAAAATGGTTGGCGACTGGAAGGTATTGTTGATTATAGCGTACAGAGTGCAGATGCTCCATGAATTAGTCACCAAGTCTGCGCTTGGTCTCACCAATGTAGATGAGACCACATCAGGAGCAACAGATACAGCAGACCAGGTTGGAGGATGTACAGGTGAATCCCTGTTGGATTTGGAAAGATTGTCTGGGGCCTTGGACAGAGATGAGAGAGGAAGTGTAGGAGCAGGTGTAGCACCTCCTGTGGTTTCAGGGAAAGGTGCCAGGTGTGGTGGGGTTGGAGGGGAGTGTGGAGCGGACGAGGGACTTGCGGAGTGCGCAGTTCCTATTAAAGGCAGATAGGGGTGGGGAGGGAAATATCTCTTTGGTTGTGGGATCGGATTGCAGGTGGCAGAAGTGGTGGAGGATGATGCGCTGGACCCTGAAGTGGGAGGACTGGTATGTGAGGACCAGGTGGACTGTGTCCTTATTTTTGTTTGGGAGAGGGGGTTTGACAGCAGAAGTGCAGGAAATGCAAGAGATGTGGTTGAGAGCATTATGAATCAATGGTTTGTTGCGTGTGTGTGTGTGTGTGTGTGTGTGTGTGTCGGGGGGGGGGGGGTGTTTTCCTTGATGTAGGAGAACATCTGGGGTGTCCGCGAGTGGAGTACTCCATCTTGGGAGCAGATGTGGTGGAGGCAGAAGAATTGGGAGTAAGGGATCGCATTCTTGCAGGAGAATGGGTGAGAGGAGGTGTAGTCAAGGTGGTTAATGGAGTCAGTGGGTTTGAAATAGTTGTCGGTGCTAAGATGGTTACCGGAGATGGAGATGGAGAGGTCCAGGAAGGGGAGAGAGGTGTCGGAGATGGTCCAATTGAATTTGAGGTTGGGGTGAAAGGTGTTAGTAAAGTTGATGAACTGTTCAAGCTCCCATAACAGAAGCAGTGAAAGTTCAGTGATAGCATCACAATGACTGCATTTCAAAAACAATTCATTGGCTCTGATGCATGCTGGGACATTCTACTGCCAAGAAATCAAGCTCTTGTTCTTTGTCAAATTCCTATATCAACAGTTAGTGCATAAACATAAACCTGTCATGCTGTAATTACATTCTCCCAAACAACCCTGGCACTGCAATGACAACAGCAAGCTAAATTTATGCTCATGGTTTCCAATAAAAATGTGAGCACATAGAAATTGACAAGAAGTGTGTCCAAGAAATCACATTTTTAATAAACAATATACTGTATATTACTGATTTGTGGCCTCACTTGTAGGAAGATTACAAATTGCATTTTGAATTTTAAATTTTGATAGTATGTACTATAACACAACATTTGTCCTTAGACAAAGTTATAAAATCAAAAATAGATCAGATCATATTGCTTCAAGCAGGAAAATATTTCTTACTGAAATAGTTAACAGGCAATGTAACAGGATAGCATAAAACAAACCATGTATTTGAACACAAAGCTATTGATGCAGTTTAGTTCTCCAAGGCTACAATTATAGCGGATGTCTTCCACAATTTGAGCACAAGATAATTTTAAGAAAAGTGTCAAATTTTCTGAATATGATCAAATTTACATATGGAAATTAATTTCAATTTAAAGTCTTCTATATTTTCATATATAATTTACTACAGATGCATAAGGCATCTGTTTATACTGATAAGTCAACAAACAATTTTGAAATAATGGGAATTGATCATTTCCATTCCTTTTTTTTCATCTCTGTTTGAATTACATATACCAATTAACATTTCTGCAAATTTCTAACTGAATATATGAGAAATGAATTATCTAATGAAAACACTGGACTAGGCTACAAAGCACATCACACTGGTTAGGATGAGACAGTCTTTCCATGGTGGGCTATGCATTGGCTCAAAAGAACCATGACCAGTGAGAACTGTTTATTGAGTCAGAAACAGTGATTCATAATAATGTATTACATCAGCATTTGTGTTCAACTGAAATGTATGAGGTTAATATGCATGTTTTATAGTTTTGGATCCCTCTGTGTGCTTTCCAATAATGTGCTATGTCAATGTGGTGTTTTTAACAGTAATGCTCTGAATCACTTGTCCAGTGTTTTGCAACAATGTATACATTCAGCAACATATGTATTCAGTGTAATGTCACATTCAGTGTAACGTACTGAGCCAGTGTCATGTGTTCTAAAGTAACATCATACTTGCACAGGGTAGTACAGTATTACAGCACAGAAAGAGGTCCTTTGGCCTGTTGTGTCCATGCCAGTCATCTAGTGCCTATCGAGCTCTAATCACATTTCAAGTATTCATCTAATTACTTCTTAAATATTGTGAAGGTTCCTGCCTCCACCACCCTTGCACACAGTGAGTTCCAGATACCCACCACCCTCTAGGTGAAAACAAAGATCTTTAAATCCCACCTAAACCTCTTTCCCCTTACCTTATATCTATGCCCCCATAGATATACATCCATGTGTGATGTGTTTTATGTTACATGCAGGGTCAGAATGGTGTGTTTTACACTGCAGCTCATTGTCAGTTTTGTTGTGTTTTACAGTGGACTGCTTGGTCAGTATTGCATGTTGTATATTAGAATGCAGGGTCAGTGTGGCTTCATTTACATTAGTGCCTGTTGTGTTTTGCATAACAGTGCAAGGTCAGTATACTGTGTTTTATGTTGTAGTGCAAGATCAGCATAATTTGCTTTATAATGTAGTGCACGGTCAGTGTGGTGTGGTTTACATTTCAGTGCAGGGTCAGTGTGGTGTAATTTGGAGTGCACAGTCACTGTGGTAGGTTTTACATTACAGTGCAGGGCAAGTGAGGCATATTTTACACTGCAGTGTTGGGTCAGAGTGGTATTATTTACAGTAAGGTGTTGGGTCAGTGAAGTGTGTTGTACAGTAAAGTGTAAAGTCAGTGTGGTGTGTTGTACACTGCAATGCATGGTCAGTATGTAGTGTTTTATATTGTGTTGCAACGTCATTGCCATGTGTTTTACATTACAGTATGGAGTCAGTATAGTGTGTATAGAGTGAAGTGCAGGGTCAGAGGGAAGTGTTTTACAGGAAAATATACAGTCTATGTGGTGTTTTACATTACACTGCATGGTCAGCTTGGTGTGTTTTACATTATAGTGCAGGTTCAGTACGCTGTGTGGTATATTATAGCATCATTGTGGTCTGTTCTGCATTACAGTGAAGGATCAGTATTTTTTAAAAGTAATTCATGGGATGTTAGCCTCACTGGCTAGGCCAACATTTATTGCCCATCCCTAACTGCCCAAAGGGTAATTAAGAGTCATCTACATTGCTGTGGGTCTGGAGTAACAGTAGGTCACATGTAGGTCAGATCAGGTAAGGATTGTAGTTTCCCACTGTAAAGGGTTTTACTGAACCAGATGGATTTTTCCAACAATCGACAATGATTCTTGATCATCATTACACTCTTAATTCCAGATTTTTTATTGAATTCAAATTTCAACATCTGCCACGGTAGGACTTGAATCCAGGTCCCCAGAACACTATTTGAGTCTCTGGATTAAGAATCCAGCAATAATATCACTAAGCCATCACCTCCCCTCAATACTGTGTTGTACGTTACACTACAGAGTCAGTGTAGTGCGTTTTACATTACAGTGCAAAGTCAGTGTGGTGTGTTTTACATTACAGTGCAGGGTCAGTATCGTGCATTTTACATTATTTTGCAGGGTGAGAGTGTTGCTTTGTACATTAACCTTCAGGGTCAGTATGGTGTGTTTTACAAAGTGGTGTAGGATCCTTTTTCATGTTTTACATTGTAGCACATTGTCAGATTGCTGTGTTTTACAGTGGACTACTTGGTCCTGTACGGTGTGTTTCACAGCAAAGTGCACTGGCAGTGTGGTGTATTGTACATTAATATGCAGGATCACTGTGATTTGTTTAACAGTAAGTGCAGGGTCAATGAGGTGTGTTTTGCATTGAAGTGCAGGGTCAGTGTGGTGTGTTTCACAGCAAAGTGCACAGTCAATGTGATCTGTTGTACATTAGAATGCAGGGTCAGTGTGGTGTTGTTTACATTAGCGTGCAGGCTCAGTGTAGTATGCTTTACATTACAATGCAGGGTCAGTGTGCTGTGTTTTACATTATACTGCAGGATCAGTATAGTGTGCTTTACATTATACTGCATGGTCACTGTGATGTAATTTATAGTAGAGCGCAGTGTGAGTGTGCATGGGTTTTACATTGAAGTGCA